TAGCATGGGAGAAAATAGCAGACCTCATGAGAATGGTTAAGAACTCTAGCCGGGGTGCGCGGGTTGCCGTAGGGCTCTAAATTAGAAGATGGATGAGAATCAGGCACACTAGAAGCTGCTTTAGAAGAGAACCAGAACCAAGGTCATCAAATGAGAGAGGAATTAATAAGGAAAAAGAGGGAGAGGGTAACAGGACTTTATCAGAGAAGTAATTAGAGTATAAAATCTGTGGAGATTTTCTACTGGATCCAACCTGTTATCCACAAAGACCTGACTTAAAGCCTTAAAACAAAAAACTCTCTCTCTCTCTCTCTCTCTCTCTTTCTCTCTCTCTCTCTCTCTCTCTCTCTCTGAAGTGAACAATAACTGGTATAATGTCTAAATTTAAGAAGTGGTTGAAATAGATTTCCCGTGGTGAAGGACAGGGAGTCAGTACTTCTTTTTTTTTTAACCTCTTGCTCCTCTGCACGGCAAACAAATGCAAAATATGTTAAATGTGCATAATTCTTACCAATTGCAGAATGTTGTTGTTGTTGTTGTTGTTTTTGAATGCCTCCTGTGTGCAGAATTTTAATGTGTGTTGATTTTTAGCACCGCAATCACACCAGCCTAGGGTATTCTTTCACGGAAACCCTTTTACTTTTGATTCTCTGCTTGCCACATAGTGTAACCCATGCTTAGTGTGTGAATGGCCTCGTTTTAGAGTGGATTGGTGGGGTTATGCGACCTCCGACTTGCCATCCGGCGTTGTTCCTAAGAGGTGTTAAAGCTGAGAGCAGCTGGGCCTGTGTTTGGATGATTTAATTCTGAAAAACGAGGGACCCGTGTTTTTCCTGTCTTGTTCCTTCCTGGTGTCTTTTTGGAAGGCTTCAGAGTATCAGGAGCAGATGGTGCTGTAGGTGGGGAGGTGACAGAATCCTGCCATTTGCAGAGGGCTTGCTTTAAAGATGGAAGCGGCTTTGTGGCTTCGATTTTTTTAGAAAGAAATAAATTGCCTCGTCTCCCTTGCCGGTCCTCTCGAAGCACAATGGAACCTGTAGCCATGATGGACACAGAAGCGGCTGCTAACCCCCTCTAGTGTGATCAAGGAAATATCCTTTCGCTTAGAGCAGGGCAGCAGGATGAGAAATGTTAGTCCCAGGGAACGTAGCTGGGGCTTTGGACACGAATGTTCAGAATTGAAAAGACTCACTAGATTTCTGTCACTGTTAAATATAGAATGATAAAAGGGTTGGAACACTTTCCCTATGAGGAAAGGTTAAGGCGCTTAGGGCTCTTTAGCTTGGAGAAACGACGACTGAGGGGTGACATGATTGAGGTTTATAAGATTATGCATGGGAAAGAGCAGGTAGAGAAAGAGGTACTTTTCTCCCTTTCTCACAATACAAGAACTCGTGGGCACTCCATGAAATTGCTGAGCAGTCGGGTTAGAACAGATAAAAGGAAGTACTTCTTCACCCAAAGAGTGATTAACACTTGGGATTCACTGCCACAGGAAGTGGTGGCGGCTACAAGCATGGACGGCTTCAAAAGGGAATTAGATAAGCATATGGAGCAGAGGTCCATCAGTGGCTATTAGCCACAAGGTATAGATAGGGGCTCTGGGGCAAGTGATGCTCTGTCTTCTTGGTGCTTGGGGGGGGGTCAACAGTGGGAGGGCTTCTAATGTCCTGGCCCCACTGGTGGACCTCCTGATGGCACCTGGTATTTCTGGCCACTGTGTGATACAGAGTGTTGGACTGGATAGGCCTTTGGCCTGATCCAACATTGGCATCTCTCATGTTCTTATAGAAGGGGAAAAATAAATAGCCAAGATAATTTACTGAACCTATTGGCCTCCTGCCCTTGTTGCAAGGACCTCGCAGTGCTGTACAGGAGTTGATAGATTGTATAGTCGATCTGGCAATCCAGGGGAGGGCCTTCTCGGTTGTGGCACCGAAACTCTGGAACTCTCCCTCCAAGGAGACTGTCTTGTCCCCTTCTGTTGCCATTTTCCCACCAGAGGGGTGAAGGCTTTCGTGTTCTGCCGGGTGTTTTCCTCAGGGATTCCCTCCTTCCTGCCCTGCGTTTTAATTGTCATTTTTTAATGTTTGTGGATGTCATTAACTTGGCTTGAATGGTTTTTTGTTTGGCTTGAATGGTTTATAAAAATGTGTTTGTTTTTTTCCCAAACACTGGATTTTTTTATTTGTTTGCCTTAAGTAAAGTATCTGTTTGACATGCATGTGTTTTTATGATGTGTGTTTTTAACCTGTTAGCTGCCTCAGTGGCTCTGTTAAGGGCAGAAAAGAATGGTACGAATTTTGCAAATAAAAATAATAAATGCAAATAAGGAATCCGGTGAGGTAGATTGGGCTTGGCTGAAGTGACACGGTGAGCTACATGCCTGAGCTGGGATTTGAACTTGTGTCTTGGGTCCCCTCCCAACACTCTCTGTCGGCTTCATACATGAATGCTCCTTATTTGGCCTACTAATTAACCTTAGTAAAAAAGATTTGGTACATTTCATGTCAACATTCTGCGGTGTGGAAGTACATTTGATCAAATAACGGATTCTGCAGGATGCAGTTTTTCCCTGCTCTCTCTCTGTCTTCTGTTACGCGGTTTAACAAAATGGAAAGCTGTCGTCCAGCTCCGTGGGGAGAGAACAAGCTGTCAAATGCATTCAGGCTGCTGAAAGGTGTATTTCTCCTCGTCCATCTAGTTCAGGGCTCCCACTGATATCTTTGCTGGTGCCCTCCAAGCGCTTTCAGAAAGTGGGCAGGGCTAGGAGGGACTTTTGCCCAGCAGGGCTCCTGATTGGCTGTGCTGATTAAAAGGCATCCTGTTAAACACTAAGTTAAACAGAGCTTCTGCCTGAAATGCTGAAGAGGAATTCTTAGACTTTATGTATAACCTTGCTCTCTGCCATTGTGTGGTTGGTTCCACCTCCCGCGGGAGCCACTTTGTGATTGTGCCCACTGCCCTCTGCCAGAATCCCAAAGGTGCCTGCAGGCTCGGAAGCGTTAGGGACCCTTGGTCTAGGCCATTGGAACTGGTGTTGGCCCAGTTGCCCAGAAATGCATCTGGGTAGAATGTGGTTAATATCGTAGTTGATGTCCTCAGATCTTTCCACACCCAGAGACTTGGTAACTCACTTTATAGACAGCTCAGCTGCAGTTAGCTCCTTATCGTGACCCTCCCCCCGGGGGTGGGGGGAGTTTCAAGGCACGAGACGAACAGAGCGGGGTTGCTGTTGCCTGACTCTGCATAGCAGCCCTGTTCTCCCCGGATGGCCTCCCCTCTGAGTACTAGCCAACCACCTCTGAACGTCTCTTGCCTTGAAAACCCCGTGGGGTTGCTGTGAAGTGACAGCAACTTGATGGCAAAAGGCAGAGGGGGAATCCATGGAGGAGGGTGATGCGTTGTTTCATGGGATGTGGCTTCTGATTGTATCACAGTAGGAACAAAGTACTGGTCTGTTACTCTTAAGGGCCAGGAAGAATCCCTTTGCCAGAGCCACTGATACTTCCTTCTGCACTGGCAAAGGGGGGCAGCAGCAGGGCTTTGTCCTGATTCAAAGGAATGTATGGCTGCAGGGCCTGTAAGACAGAGTGATTCCGCTAGGCATTCCAGTGGTGTTATTCTGGTGGACTCTGCTAACAACATGATAAACTTCTATGCCAAAAAGCTGTGTATTGGCCCTGACCTGGATAGCCCAGGCGAGCCCGGTCTTGGAAGCTAAGCAAGGCCGTCCCTGGCAAGTACTGGGAAGGGCAACCCCCAAGGAATACCAGCGCTTAGGATGCACAGGCAGGCAAATCAAGCTGCCTCTCTGAAACATCCTAACCCCACTAGGGGGTTGTCAGAAGTCACCAGGACTTCCAGGCTCACAAACACACACACACACACAGAGGCAAATAACTCACAGAAACAGTATGAGTGCTTTATAAAGTTTGATGAAGTTTTTGAAGAAGAGCCATCGAAACGGAGATTGAAATCGGGAGTCTTCGTCTTTGTACTACTTTTTGTACTACTTATTCTGTACTGCCTATGTACTTGTGCATTACATGATGTATTTTGCTATCACTGACTACATGTGGTTTCTTGTTACCCCTTGTTAGTACAGTGTTATCTTGTTATATAAACGTTTTTCCTGCTGTTTGTATTACTCGGGCACTTTTTGGTCAGCGTTATTTATGCAGTGTGTGTTTGTTTCATGATCCTGTGTACTGTGTTAAAAGAAAATGATAACATGATTGTTGATTTTATGTAGGTAATTAGAGGAAAGCCGTTCTTTGAGTCCATCCGTTCCCCACCCCCCCAAAACGTAAGCAAGTCACAAGGCTTCAATCAGTTCGGTTTCCTATATTTGTAGGTTTTCAAAATTATCTTTCAAATACAAATAGCTGCCCTAACTGGCAGGGCTCACCTACAGGGCTAATTAAAGTGCCTTAGAACTTCAAACACCATACAAGGTTGTCAGTACTCAAATGTCTTCTTTAAAATGTATATAAAAGCTGTATTAAGTTCATTCTTGCTTGGGGTTGCTGACCTCTGTTTGGGTCCTGGAGATCTCCCGGATTGGTAGACCCATTCTTGCTACTTTTGATCATCAAAAAAACCCATCAAAAGTAGTGATTTACAAGCTTTTTTATACATGTGATCATCTGTTGGACGTCAGCCAATACACCCATTATTTGGACTATACCTTCACTTCTGTATATAGCTGGACAATCTTGCCAGTTCTCATACGTTTCTCGCATCTGGGCCCAGAGATGTATAGAGTTGCCAGGTCCCCCTGTCACTCCGGTGGGGGGATTTGGGGGGGGGGAGTTCAGGGGGTCGGTGGGGGTGTCGCATGATATCCCCAATGCAATGACATCACCCAGAAGTGACATCATCATATCAGGGACACCACACAGGGACACTCTGGTGTTTGGATGAAACTCTTTGGTTTTCCCTTTCAAACCGTAGAGTTTGCCCAAATACCAGCACAACCCCACACGATGTCCCTGACACAATGATGTCACTTCCGGGTCCCTATTTAAGGGCGGGGTTTCGCCTGCTGGCCAGCTGGTCCGCAGCAGGGAGAAGCCCCTGAATCGGGGGATCCTCCACTTGGGCAAGCCTAGACATGTGGTATATCTACTCCAGGGGTCATTTTGTAAAAAAAGAGGTGCAGGAGCTCATTAGCATAACTTATTTGCATATGCCACACCCCCTGACATCACCGGAAGTGTGTCAGAAGGCAACACCCACCGCTCAGGCTCCACTGGACTGTTTTGGATTGCTAGCTATTGGGGGGGGGGGATGTGCAGATCTGTCCTCGCAGAGGAGGGAGAGCTTGTACCTGAATAAAACTTGGTCTTAAAGGTGCCACTGGACTGTTTTGGAACCGGGGGGGCGAGCGGAGCTCTGCAACTTACCTGGCTGCTTCTTGCTCTGATTGAGGGCTGCTGGGAGCAGGGGGTGGGGTTTGTTGCATGTGCTTGCCCCCTGGGCTCTTTACTGCCGGAGCTGTGCTCCTGTGCGCTCCTGCAGGAAATGACCCATGACTGTTACTAATTATATGATAACTGATCTAGTAAGGCCATATTATTTTGTTACTCCTTTGTTTCTTAGTCCTCTCCAAGGCTGTTGTATTCTGGAACTCTGGATTCCTGTTGTGGCATGTTTAGTCGAGAGACTAGGCCAGCTCTGCCTCCTGTGCACATTTACTAAAAATTAGCGGGACTTGCTTCTGAGTAAATCAGTTTAGACTTGTGCCATGTGTTTGTGACCGAGGCAATGTAATGTTCTTTGCCTCCTTCCGTGAGGTTTTTTTTTTGTGGGGGTTGTATTTTAATTGCCAGCATTCTTTGGGTTAAATTGATCTAACCTGCAGCCACAGGCAGATTATGCCCAAGTGGATCGCGGAAGTACTCTTTTTCTGTATTTCTTTGGGGCTGCTTTGTTAAGAGATGAAAAGGGGGAGCACATCCCAGACCCAGCTTTCAGCCCAAACACAACATTTGCTCACAGGCTGAAACATACCTGTTTGGTTTAGTGCTTTTATGATCTGTTGTCATTACCTTCCTTTGATTCTGAAGCAGAGCTGCGAAAGATAGCGAGGTGCTTAATCCCTCTTTTGTGTGGCAATTCCAGGGATAGCTCTCCTGTACCTTCAGCTGTACCGTGTGACGGGGGAGAAACATAATCTCCAGCGAGCCTTGGACTACGTGAAGAGGACGCTACGCAACCTGAATGGAAGAAGGGTGACTTTCCTTTGTGGCGACGCCGGGCCCTTGGCCGTGGGCGCAGTGGTGTACCACAAGCTAAACATAGAGGATGAATCCAAGGAGTGTGTGACAAAGTGAGTGTCTGGTTTGACAAACGCGGTCTCATGTAGAAATACAAAACCTTCGAGGGGCTTGCTTGAGTTAAATAGCAGAGCTGCTTCTGGAAAGGGGGGGCATGAAAACACACTGTTGCCATGGCAGTAGCAGTGAGCAGCAGCGTGGGAACTGGTGAAAAGGCATCCAAAAACACCAGTTCTTGTGCCGCTCATTGCTGCCAACGCCCCACCTCCACTCCTCTTCTTTCCCCTCAACAATGATCCATCTGGTCGCCCACTGTGTGGCCCCAAACACCCCCTCCATCACCAGTCATTTTCACTTTCCCTGCTAACTGAACCAAACTGTGATGTTGCAATGCAGCTGAACCAAGAAATGGAAGAAAGCCCTTTAAAGGGGTGGGATGGGGGAATGGATTGCATGCCACTTTGAAACTGGAGTTCAGCTCTGGAAGTGCCGTGATTGGAAGGAGCATGTGTGCACTCCCCCTTAAATCCAGGGGCTTTGTGTGTTCGCTGGGGGAGGAAAAAATCTCCGTGTGGAAGTTTCTGAGAAAGAACTGGACCCACGCAACTAGGGATGTGCAAAAAAAAAAAATTCGGTAAAATTCGGATTCGGGTTTATTGGACCCGAATTTTTTCGGGAAACCCGAAAAAACCCGAATATCTATACCGGTAAAGCATAGATATCCGAAAATTTTCGGGAATCCCGAAAAATTCGGGTCCATTGTAACCAATGGGGCCATTGAAGTCAATGGCAAAAATCCTCTTGAAACTTTGCGGGGGGCTGGGGGGGAGGGGGTTTGGGGTAGAGGCTCCAAACTTGGAGGGAGCTCACTGGAACCTCTTCCCAACATGCCCACCAAGTTTCAAGGCGATTGGACAAGGGGGTACAATTTTATGGCCCCCCAAACAGGTTGCCCCCAGATCAGCCTTCTGCAGTTTATTCCCGGTTTGCCGCCGAAATTCGGCGGCAATTCGGCAACATTGTATCATATGGCCCTTGGAGTTGGAGGCTCCAAACTTGGAGGGTGGTTACTAGAACCTCTCCCCAACACACCCTCCAAGTTTCATGAAGATTGGACCAGGGGGTCCAATTCTATGGGCCCCCAAACAGGTTGCCCCCATCCCATTGTTCTCTATGGTGGGAAAAAA